TAAAATCTTTAGCTCGCACGTACATAGAGAATATCCCTGCAAAGTTTCTGCTTTCTACCTTGCATGGTTCACGAAATCGTTTCCTGCCAACATATTTTTTTGGTGTCCCGTACGCGGGGTCTAGGCGCGTGTGGGGAAAGATCTTAAAACGGAAGGATGACACATAGAGTAGGAGCATATGCCTGAAGTTCAGCCTCCCAGCTTTCCTGGTTGCTGAGATGAAAGTGGGTGAGAAAATGCACTCGCTTCCTAACACACACACACACACACACACACAGGCTCTCGACAATATGCGTTTTTGCTGGCTGCAGCAGCGCTATACAGCAAAAACGCATAAAAAGGGGGTTTGTACTCCACCGCGCCACCGCACTCTCATGAAAATAAATAAATAGCGGCTTGCACCAGGGCGGCAGGTACGATCGTGCGTTTTGCGCAGTTCCGTCCGGCTAACGTTTGCCTGCTGAGGATTTTCACTGCTTTGCACTGTATTCTGTGCAAAAATAGTTGAAATGTTATCCGGACTCCAAGTTGCGAAATTTCTCACGAAAAATTTCAAGCACTGTCACGTGAAAGGTGAATCTGAAACTTTATACGGGTGAACAACTTCGAAAATCTCCACTTCCTAATTAGATGATTTTCGAGTGATTTTTCTTTTACGTGGTCACACATCAGACCTCAACATGCTTGAGGAGTAAATTTGAGTTTGTGGCCCCTGCATAGGCGGAAAACATTCTCCTGAAATTTTCAGCCTCTAGCTTTCATGGGTCAGAGTTAATAATTTTCCCCGCCATTACTTCCACGGAGTCGTACGCAGTACCCAGAAGGGAAGGCTGAATCTGAAGTTGTGGAGTTGTACTTGTACTTGGGCAAAGGACTTTGCCGAAATATTCCAGCTTTCTTGGTTTTATGATCCCTGAAGTAATTTTTCCGCCAAATTTTCACGAGACCATGTGTGACATTCTAATGCGCGAGAAGATGAATTTGTGTTTGCAAGGTCGCACTTGGGCAGGGATCATTGTCCCGAAATTTCAGCTTCCTAGTTTCTATAGTTCTCGGGATAATAATTTTCCCTGCCAGAACTTTCGTGGGGTTGCACGCAATACCAGGACCGGAAGAAGGCTGAAATTAAATTTGGGCAGGGCATGCTCCCCCAAATTCCCAGCTTCCTAACTTTTGCGGCTCCCAAGTTGGAAGTTGTGGAAAAGGTGCACCACACACAAGCATGTACCCACAAATGCACACAGAGACAACCCTTTGACAATACGCGTTTTGTCCAGCTGTTGCACACCATTAAACGCATAATACTTAGCCGAAAGCGTACCGGCTGCCGGTATGAGGATGCGTTTTTGCACAGTCCCCTCGCTGGTTTTTTTCGCCAGCGGCATGCTTTTTCCAGCAGATGCTTCTAGCTAAAAGAATCGCGACTGGCCACCATGACTGTTAGAAATTGTTACAGAGACTCCCAATCCATGCCCAAAAAATTCAGCGCTCTGGATGCTTCGGTTGCGGAGTCACGCCAAATT